GAAAAGTGTGGAGCCAAAGAGAACTATGTCAAGAGAAGATTCTCAAGAGTCTGGTGCCACTTAACCGTGAAAAAGATTTTTGTTGGTGGCATTAATAAAGAAGACAATAAAGAACATCACCTAAGAGATTATTTTGAGCAGTGGCAAGTAGAGAGGCTTTGCTGTGAACCTTTCATGACCAAGATTCTGTAGAAAAGATTGCCATTCAGAAACACCACACCGTGAAAGGCCGCAACTGTGAAGTAAGGAAAGCCCTATCTAAGCAAGTGATGGCCAGTGCTTCATCCATCCAGAGAAGTCAAAGTGGTTCTGGAAACTTTGGTGGTGGTTTTGGTGTGAATGACAACTCTGTAGTGGAGGAAACTTCAATGGTAGAGGTAGCTTTGGTGGCAGCCATGATCGCTGTGGACATGGTGGCAGTGGAATAATAATGGAAGCAACTGTGGAGATAGTAAAAGCTACAATGATCTTGGTAATTACTACAATCAGTCTTCAAATTTTGGACCTGTGAAAGAAGGAAACTTTGGAGGCAGAATCTCTGGCCCCTATGATGTTAAAGGCCAATACTTTGGCATACCACAAAACCAAGGTGCTATGTAATTCCAGCAGCAGCAATAGCTATGGCACAGGCAGGAGGTTTTAAGTAACTCAGGGAAACAAAGCTTAACAGGAGGGGAGAGCCAGAAAAGCGATGGGCAAGCTGAAGGTCACAACACATTTGTGAATTTTGCCAAGCACAATGGTGGCGTGGCCTAGCACACAAAGAAGACATGTTTTAGACATCACTCATGTGCACGGGCAAAAAACCCAAGGACTGGGCCTCCCAGGTGGCGCAAGGGGTTAAGACGCAACTTATGAAGCTAGCCACAGCCATTGCAGCAGGAGCTTGATCCCCAGCCAAGGAGCTACCCACATGGTGCAGCAGACCTCTCCTATCATGCCCATGCTCCCCTCAGCAGTGTATTTCAGTCTGCCTGCCTGTTGTGTTCCCCACTCTGTCTCTGGTAAATTCTCTCACCCCCCACACCTCTGGCCTGTACTCCAGTTCTTGTATGCATAAATAAATAAATCTTAAAAAAAAATCTCAAGGACTGTATTTGTGACTAATTGTGTAACCTGTTGTTTTTACTTTTATTCTGTGGAAAGTATAAAGTATTCCAACATAGGGTGTTAACATAGTTTGTTTTTTTTTTCACCCATGCTGTTGGATTGCTAAATCTAATAGTCTGATCTGGTGTTGAATAAATGTGTCTTTATAAAAAAAAATCAGAAAGAATTTCACAAAGTAGACAAAAATTAACAAAATTGATTATTTCAGCAAAGGTAGCATGAAGGTTTTGGAAGTATGAGGTTTCCTCCATGCTTCAAAGATTTTTCAAATCATTCCTTATATACTTCTTGTCTGTCTTTTCATTTCACAGATAATTGCCAATATTCTCACTTACTTTTATAATAATTGTGGTAGTCAGTGAAAACTCCATAAAATATTTTTATTCTCTTTCTAGGTAAGTAATAGATTAAACTTCCATGCCATCTTGAAGTTAGATGAACTGCACTGGACTTTGAAATAAGCTGATGTGATATGTATCCTTTCCAGATGGAAATTCTAAGAACCAGTGCACAATTTGCTGCATTTTCTCTTTCCTTCCCTCACAGGGATTGGCAATTTTCCAGATAGTTGCTGCTCTGTCTCCCATGAAACCTGCAAGAATGACGATGATGATGATAATATGTGTGTACATTAGAATCTTGCCTATGTCTGAAAAGGAAGTTTTACCAAAGGAAAGAACAGCATTTTGTTGTGGGAGGTGAAAGTAGAAAACAAGACATCTAATATTGACACCTCCATTTGACCCCATTGGAAGCATTTCAAATAGAAGTAAAATGTGGTAGTATAATAAGCAGGAAAACATTACAAAGGTAAGATATTAAATGTTTAAAAGCAACCTGAATTAGATTTGGGTTATATGTGAGTTTTTGGACAATGATTCATTCTGGTTTTTGAAGAGTGCTATTACAGTTCTTATTAAGATTCCTCTATGGAGTGTTTCCTGGTCTGTAAAATGAGAAATACAATTCTTAGTTGTTATAAATAGATTTTTTTAAATAGTTGTCATAGTTCTTAGAATCGTGATTCACCTATAAACACTGGAGGGGGGAGGGTGGTGAAGTGAGTGTCATGGAACCAGACTTGCAATAAAATTCCAAGTTGGGCTCTTATGTAATGAATGCCCTTAATCAGATCACTTAACTCCCCCTCTGTCTTAGTTTCTGAGAAAAAAAATTTAACTTTCAGTGTTGTTTTAAGGAATATAGTATACGTATTAAATATATTATAGTGTATGTGTGTGTGTGTGTATACACAAAATCTAGAATACAGTTACTAGCATCATGGTAGAACACAAAGCTCCCAGACCTCAGCAATGACATTAGTCCCAGAAAACCTAGTCCCAGACCTCAGCAATGACATTAGTCAGCCAATATATCACACTACTGTCTGTAACATCACAATAGTTTTGAATATCTGTGGATGGGTAGCTGCAGTTTTTCTTGCTTCCTCAGGCCACCACCCATACTTGCCCCATGCCTGGCATGTTCCTCAACACAATCCAGGACACCAATGCCACAGCTATTTCCTTCAGGTTGCTGCTTATCACTCTCCACTAAAAATTGATGTGAAAGTGAGTATTTCTTCCTTGCATTTTAGCTGTAACATTAAATCTAACAGTCTGATCGCTTAGACCCTGAGATGTTTTGGATTTTTTGTACACTCTACCAGATTATATACATAATGAGCAATAGCTGCATGTTGTGAATAGGTTTTTTTCAGAAAAAGACTCTAAGGTCAATATTTTTATACTAGGGATTTAAGGAGTGCACTGAGGAATAAGCCCAGCAGGTGTGTGCCAGAATCAACTTGTACTGACGTATAAGGAGCAATCGTGTGCACCTCTTTTCAATTCTGCATTCAATGATGTCAAGTTGGTGGCTTAAATTTGGCCATGGTGAGATCCACACTTGGAAACTGGCAAATGCAATAAAGTCTCCTCTCCCCCCACAGGAGATTCGTTTGCTAAACACTTACCAATATAGCCCCATGTGAGAGGAGGAAAAGGCAGAACTGGGTGGAGGAAAATGTTGAACTGCTTTGAGTTGGCTTTATCCACCATGATAGCTCTTATGCCATAAACCAAAAAATAAAATGGGTGTTCCACCAAACATTTAGTGCCTCCATTCTAATTTTATTTTCAGAACGGGTAATGACAACTAGTCCATAGATGCTAGTGGACACACTCTTTGCAAAATGGACCAGAACTTCATCTATTGCCTGGCCCACCTATGTCCCAATTCTATGATGACATGTTGGGTTCCCTTGGTATCCATCTCAGGTAGGACCTTACGTCCAACAGTCCCTGAAAAACCTAAGTATTCCCCTTTCTCAAGAGTAAAAGTAACCCAAGCATAAAGTTAAATATCTGTTATAAGAATATTATTATCAGCACAACTCCAGATTACAGCAATGATGTATTTGTTTCAGATTCAAGAGATTTGTGTGCAGGGTATCTGTTAGGGAATGTGTTCTCCCGAACCATTATGACTTATATGGAAATGAGGAAAAAGGGATTAAATAAAAGGAGAAAATGAACTAAAATGCATTCCAAAGAGGCCTCAGCCAACTCCGTAGAGATCAGAGTATAACATTGACAAAGGTTGCCCTCTATTATGACCAATTTCCAGAGAGGGACTCAACCCAAAATATTTGATGCCAGAGTAATCCTAAGAAGAGGACTCAGCTGCAAGTCTTTGGCAACCAAAATTTCAGCAGCTCAGGGAAGGTCCTGAAGTGGGGGTCTTGAAAGCATACTACTGTGTCCATTAGACTGAGTCGGGTTAAAATAAGGGCCCCCGGCACTATCTATAGAACGGCATTTTCCAATAATCTTAAGGATTTGATTTCAGCCTAACATACTAATCTCATTCTTTCAGCCATATCCTCTCACATCAATTCTAAGGTACTTCGACAAAGTTTCATATTATCACACATATCTGAAAGGCTTCCTGGGATGCTTATCTATGTATAAACTATGGTCAAAGTCACTTTGGTTTACTTTCCAGAAGCTTCCTCAACCACCTTGTAAAATGAATATATTAGGAAATATCCCAAAGGTAAAAGAGCTATTCCAGCCTGACCCTCTATATCAATGGTGCTTTTTCTAAGGTATCCTGTCACAATTATTATCACTGGACCATTGATAATCTTGAGTTATACTGAAGATATATTTGCAGTAGATATTTAGCTTACAAAACAGATATAGTGCAGTCAGCAGGAAGAAGAAATAATTCTCTCATTAGAATAACCAGGCAGTTAGGGGAAGACCTTGACATATGGGTAATATTTTTAGAAAATTTCAGAGGCACAGTTATATGGCAGTTGCAATTAGTTTCTAACAAGGAATTAGATTTGTTTATATATGCTTCGGGGGGAAGAAAGATTATGGAGGATATTTTCAAGGCAGCAAGTGTGCTGGGAATTGATGAAATATTGAACGAGATGCTAAAAAATAACTTTTTTGTAACTGATATTCAGGTCTGTATAAATGGCCATGCTAACAGAGCAGTGAGCTAATATGTTTCAGGCTGATTTTCTATCCAAACAAGCTTGGAATAGTTTAAGCAATTAACAAGCTTTCTGAGCTAATTCAAGATTGTAGGAAAAAACTGTAATGTGCAACATGCTCATATGGGAACTCTTAGAAATCATTGCTATGATTGTCAAGTGATGAAGCCATAATCATAACGTTGGCAGCCATAGACCTCCTGACTCAGAGGTTCCTGTGAATTGAATATTCTCATTAATTGAGTTCCCTTTGGGTTTCTGCATCTAGAACTTGAAAAAACAAATGGTCTTTTATGGAAACTGGCAATGCATGATGTCCTACTGGAATCTATACTGATTTCATATCATTGCTAATATTCTCTTACCAGATTTATAAGAAGAAAGTGACTTACTCTCAACAGACCAATAGTATATGGAAGAGAAAAAGCCCAGGCAAATTTAACCGCCGACATAACTGACTGAATATAAGAAGTCTAGTTCTGAACGAGATCATTTGTAAAATCACAAAGCCAAAAACTTAACATGTTGCATGAAATTCATCTGTGCTGTAAGTTGCTGCCTACACTTGTGATACAGATATAGAGATACCAGAGCACCACTGAAGAGTTCTCGTTTACTATAGATAAACTGTGTATCTGTTTTTGCTCACTAGTAACAATTTTAAACTAGGTATAAAAGATATGACTTAAAAATGAGGTAGACAGAAATGCAATTATTATATTCATGCTAGTTTTGAGAATAGCCCAGGGCATACTTTCCATTTCCCTTCCTCTGTCATTAATGTTTATATTTTGAATAAAATAATATGTAGTTTGGTTTTCCCTTTGCACTCTGCATCAAAGCAATGCAGAACGAAACACAGATACTCCTTGGAGCATGGTAAGTATGTCCCCTCTCATTTTCCTCAGAATCCTTACATCTGCAGTTTAGTTCTCTTCAAGTTGAATGAGAGAGAGAGAAAAAAAGATATGCACAAAGCAAAGCAAAGCAAAGATATAGAGCTTATGTGGAGACTCTTGCTTTGAAAAGAACTCTCAAAGTAATGATTGGTATATGGAACTGAATTCAATCAAATAAAAATGAAACCTAATAAATGTCGACAGAGTTGTAACAAAAGCATGAACTCAGAATTCTTACAGCTGTTCAAGACCTAAAATAATACTTGAACATCCAACCTTCTATGAACAGGTAGTAAGCTGAGAAAGCAGTACATCTTCCCAGCAGAGCAAATTTCAAGATGGCACTTCAGATGCATCCAAGAGGAATAATGAAAGAGAAACTCCACCTGTATATGGTAGATTGAGAGAATACAGAACCACAGATAATTTTTCAGAAATCAGATCTGGGCCTACTTAACAAACACCAGTCACCTCTGGGTAAGAGCACCCTCACAATCCCTGCCATGAGTATCTCAGAGTTGTTACAGAGCCAGTAAAGATTGTATTTTATACTCACTCCATTTCTGAAGGTAGTACTTACTGTACTCAACCAAAACCCATTCCACCATCATAAATTGTGTTTCAAAGTGGAAAATTTTCATGTAATAGTCCCCTGAGCTGAGAAGAGTTATACCTGGAGCTAACAGAGATTACTTTGCATCCCTCAGAGATTCTGGATTTAGACCATGATCCTATGATTAATTAGATAAGACAGTTGGATTTTCTCTGTTAAGAAGGGGATTCGTATGAATGTTCTGTATTTGGGTAGAAGAAGCAACTAAAGATCTGGTGACAAGAGCTGATAGCGCTCTCAATATCTGTTTTGCGTCTCTTTCCAGGTAAGGATAAAACAACAGTTCACAATATTACTTTCCCTTAAAATTAGGTGGGGTTAGGGCCTCCCCTGGTGGTGTAGGTGGTTGAGCACAGCACTGTGAAGCTGTCCGCAGCCTCGATCCCAGCCGGCTGGTGAGGGTATAACATGGAGCGGCAGATCTCTCCTGTTTCGCCCGCTGCTCCCCTCAGCAGTGTATTTCGTTGGTCTGCCTGTTCTGTTCCCCGCTCTTTCTCTGGTGAATTCTCTCACCCTTCCCCACATCTGGCCTGTACTCCAGTTCTTGTATAAAATAAATAAATAAATTAAAAAAAAATTAGATGGGGCTGATTTACTGGTTCTGGTTCTAAAATTAGGTGGGGCTAAATTACTGGCTAAGGACTTTGAGAGGAAGTGACATATGTCAATTCTGAGCTAAAGCAGAAAAGAAACAGGTATACACTCTCCATGTACTTTCTTCTCCTGCTACAGAAAACACAAAGACTCACAGGGAGGTCCTAAAACTGAGAACTAGAGCAGCCAGAGCTAAGAAAAGTTAACCTGGAGAGTTATATGCAGCAAAGTAAGAAGGAAAAGTAAACTCTCATTGTATTAGGCCACTGAGACTCTTTTCTCCACAGAAAAACCTAGTCTAGTCAGACTAGATTTTAATGAAATCTAGATTTTAGTAAAATTATGCATATTTCATTTAAAATTCTAATTTTTATTCAACAATTCTTTCTTTTAGCATTTTCAGGATGCAATACCATTACATTTTGAGATCTACTATTACTGAAAAGTGTCTGCCAATTCAAAAATGTATTCTAAGTAATCTTTATCTTCTAACAGTTTTTATAATTTTGTCTTTTAAATTATGTCATTTTATCACGATTTTTCTGTGTAAGGTTTGTTTGCAACTTTTTCTTGCTTGAGATTCAAATTATTCCTTCAATTTGAAAATTTGTTTTCCTTAGAAACTTCATTAGCTTGACTAGTTAATATTGCCTTCTAGACATATACTCTCATTTTTACTTCCATATCTCTTTACTAATATTTTAACATTTTCCATAACTTTCTCTCTCAAATGGTGCATTCTGAGAGACTTCCTAAGACTTATTTTCCCACTCATGAATTCTTTTTTCAGCTGCTGCAATGTCTGATTTACTGTTTAACCACTGCATTCAGAATTTTTGATATATAGACTATTTATGTATAAGCCTTTTCAAACTTAATTATTTTTTGCATTTATTAATTATTTTTATGCATTTTTTGTTCCTGTCTTAGGACTTCTATTTGATATCTCTTTGAATAATTGAAATAAATGTATATAAACTTTTCTTTCAAAATATTTTGGTATGTCCTAGGACTAAACATCTAAATTCTTCCATTTACTGAATATGTGACTCTCTCCCACAGTGGTTCATTCTGTGTATTTTGAACACTCACTATAAATTTATTTTCATCCTCCCATTCTGTATTTTTTTTTTGGAAAGTCAAATATGCTCTGAATTGTAGAAATGTCTACCATAGCAGTTCTTTGATTAACTACAAGTTCAGGGTATTTTCTCACCGGTTCTTCACTGCCTCATAATTTCTTGGCCCTTCATGACATCTGACACAATTATTAAGTTTTCATTTTTCATGAACATTTTTCACCTATGGCCAACCTAATGGAAGATAATCTACCTGAATGCTTCCTAGAGATGAGGAATAGAGATTTTCTATTGTTCATTTCAGGGATGGGGCAACTCTTGATGGCTCTGTGTTTAGGCAAGAAGCTTAGTGCCAGTTCTCTACGCATTTGAACTCTGTGGTTAAATATTTCTCCTTCTGTGTGTATCTAAAACACAGAACCAAGGCATTAAGATAGTGATATAGAATTTTCGGTGGGCGGAGCAACATGGCGGCGAGGAGACGCTGCGAGTAAGATCTCCCATTAAAAAAAGTTAATAGGGAGGAAAAGCGGCAGGTCCCAGTGAGAACTGGGACACGGAAGAAAAACGGACGACTCCAGCAAACTGCCCGAAGAAGAAAGTTGCCATAAAAGAGGACGAGAAGGGAGGGAAGCGCAGAACCCTGCTCCCCTCCCCCGCCCACAGAGGCGGCACTCTCCGCCCGGCAGAGAGGAGGAAACAACAAACCAAAACGGCCAACAAGAAAAACGGACACAGCAAGCGGGACTGTGAGTGGAAAGGAACTATTGCAGCCACCACACCCCGTGAACGGGAGCTGAGGCGAACCCTGCAGGATCCGCCGCGGAGGTGAGGTCCAGGCGCCATTAAAGAGAGCCCCGCCCCCCAGGAGGAGACCAGCACCAGCACACAGCCCCGGCCGCCCGGTAAGCTTGCGCGGAAAGTGGCGCGGATCCAGACCGGATCGCAGCTGCCCAGGTCCCCGCGCCTGCGACCTAGGCTTGCGGGGAGACCGCGGAGGCCCTCCCTGAGTGAGCAGGAACAAGGCGCCCAGGCAGGGGAGCGGGATTCAAAAGGCGCCATTCCCGCGCCACTGATCTGGGCTACAGCCCGCGTCCTGGAACTGAGGGCTTTGGAACTGAGACCCGGGGCACGAAATTAGGGGCGTGGGTTTCCCACGACGGTGGGGCACAAGGCAGACACAGCACCCCAAAGCCGTTGAGGTGTACCCTACCATCCCCGCTCTGCTCCCTGTCCCACGGGGTGGAAAATCAGCTCCCCAAGGGCTCTAGGAGAGATCTCTGGCGCCACCTAGCGACTTGACCCCAGCACAGGCTACTGAAGGAGCTAGTGGCCAGCTGGGGAGTTAGCCCACACCTGGCTCCTTCCGAACAAGTAGTCTGAGCCCACAGGGAGAGCGAGCACCCACAGCCGGGGCAGACCAGGCGCGCAGAAGAGTGTGCCTGAGACCAGACGCGCAGGGAGTGTGTCCCACATCACCATTTTAGAACAGGGACATTTCTTCAGTAAAGACTACCTGCAGAAGGCTTCCTCAGGAGCCAGAGGTGAGCAGGGGAAGTTCGCCCACGCCAGACCCCCTCTGGCCTGCAGTCCAAGCCCAGAGGGGAGCAGGAACCCACCGCCGGGGCAGACCAGGCGCACAGGGGAGTGTGTCCCCACATCGGCATTTTAGAACAGGGACCTTTCTCCATTAAAGGCTGCTTGAAACTGACAGATGACTCCTGGTAGAACCAGAGGGGAACAGAGAAGCCCACCCAAGATGCCGGCCAGTCCCAACAACACAGTGTCCCAACGCATACGGCAAATTAGAAAACAGACAGTAGGGAGGAGAAGAACCACACGCAACCTAGCAACTCTCCAGAGAAAAAGCACACCACAAAAAGAAAGCCAGCCCCCAGATTGCAAAGACAATAACTTGGAAGAATTTCTGAGCCTTCCAGAAAGAGAATTTAAAATTGCCGTGATTAAAAAACTGACAGAAGTCATAAAGGAAAACAATGATAAGGGAAAAATAATCAACGATCAGAAGAATGCAATTGAGTCCCTAGAGAGGGAAAACAATGGTCAGAAGAAAGAAATTGAGTCCCTAAAGAGGGAAGTAAAAGAAATGCAGGAGATCAAAGAATTAATGGAAGAACTAAAGAATTCTGGGAAAAGCAATGAAAGCAGAATAGATGAAATGGAAGAACGAATAAGTAATCTTGAAGACACAGAAATAAAAAGAACCAAAACAGAAAAGGAAAGAGAAGTACGAAGGAAAAAGAACGAAGAAAGACTTCGGGAACTATCTGACTCCATGAGGAAAGGAAATATAAGAGTTATAGGAATACCAGAAGGAGAGGAGAGAGATGTAGGAACAGAG